AAGGACCTGACTGTATCCACAACTTGCTCATTAGAAATACATTGCTGCTTTTGTTATGTACAGTAATTATCTGTTATTCAGGCTCTTGCTAGCCTTTTTTTTTATTTACTTTTTTTTTCTGCAACCGATTTCTTCCGAGCAAGGTAAGTATTTTCTTTGGTGGAATCCCATACATTGTCTTTAAATAAACAGGAAGCCTAGTTTTCCTGGATACAACAGGAATATAGCTTTCTTACTCAGGGTGATGTTTTGCCAGTGGCTTTCTGCCGAAGCTGGGAGCAATGCTGTCTGTACTCCTCTGCCTTTCTCCCGAGTAGCAGCCTGTTTTTGAATTCCACAAGTTAATGCTTGTTAATGATGACATGTGACAGAGGAAGTGCCTCAGGATAGCTCTGAATAATTTGAATATTCTGGACTTTAGCATCAACTTGGGAAGGATTTGATTCTCTCTTTATGTTCCGGTCAGATAGCTATAAGCAATTATTCATCTTTTCAGTACCCTGTTTCCTTTTGGGGTTGTTAATCAAATGAGACCATTGTCATCCCAAGATCGGAAAGAAATTAATGAGGTGCTTTTGCTTTGATACGGTTTAATCAACTGTAATTAGATTTGATCCAGAGTTGTTCAGATGGGGGGTGAGGGGAGAAGCCAGTGGCTGCTTAGCATCATGCCTTAATTTGGTATTGGTTTGAAGAGGTCCCCCTGTGCAGCATGGCTGTTCCAGGACATCATTACTGGGGACTCTTTAAGTGACTTGGGTGCTTGCTGTTTACCTGTTTGTTTATCCGAAGGGCTTAACTTTTGCTCATACCACTTGCCTCGCTTTTTTTTTTCCTTGGTGCTATTGTCAGATCGTTCACAAAAATGTGACTCCTGCAGCTGTTACTGGAAGGCTGTTCCAAAACCTCAGTTCTCTGGTTACTATAAACCACCTTTAGTTTCTAGCCTCATTTTCCCCTGTGGTCAGTTTTTCTTTGACCTTATGCCAACTCTTCAGTTTACCTTGCACAGCTATTTTTCTGTTCCCCACAGTGCCTTCCCCGAAGGGCGTTTTGGAAGCTTTTTGGCATGGTGAGGTGCCGGGTATCGGCTGTTCTTGCTGGGAGGATGTGGGGGGGAAGGAGAGGGTCACCTGGCACTTGCGGGGCTGGACAGTAGGCAGGTTTGAGAACTGGTGCCTTGTGTCACAGGGTGGCACGGATTTTTAAGATGAGGCACAGTAGCTTGTTAAAAGCATCATAGCAAAAATACATAGAAGGACTCATACCCTGTTAGGTGTGGTTTTCCAGGATTAAGTAAATGAAGTTCTCTTAGTCACTTCCTGTTTCTCCAAGTGCACTGGTTTTCACTCTAGTTTGGGGTATTTCTGCAAGCAGTGCAGTTGGTCAAGATGGTTACCAAACAGCACTTGCCCCTTGGTTGCGCTGCAGGGGTGCCTGTGGGGCTGTGGTACAGATGGGGTCAGGTAGCTGCTCTGGGTCGGTGTGGTGGAACTGAATGGTTGCCTTCGTCTTGCTTCAGCACTGCACAGCTGAACTTATCAGCAATATTTGAAATGAGCGATTCATGCTTAACATAAGCACATGTGTCTTCTGTGAGGCTTGTGATGCCTCTGGTTCGAGTATCATCGGTGGCTTTTTCATAAAGCCATCACGTTATGGCTCATAGTTGTCCAATGACTGTTTAAAACCCCCCTGAAATTTTTCCTCACTGTTTCTTTTGCAGAGCTCTTTAGTCCTCATAACTTAATCATCTGTCTAGTCTTTAATGCCATCAGCTTTTTTTTGAAATGCCAGTTCTATGTGCTGGTAATATCTCCTAGTTTTGCATTAAAACTCCATAGTTTAATTGTAAGTAACAATTAGCTCACTTGTAGTTTTGGTGGATCCAGTTCTGAACCAACAGAGACCAGTAGGGAGTCAGTGTTGCATTTTAACCCTGTTTTCACTGTCTTCTGAATTTTTCCTTCATAGTGCTTTATAAAGCCTTACAAAGTGAAATTAAGTGGGCAGTTGCTTAACCAAATATTAGTAATATCCTTTTTGTTTAGGAAGTTTCATATTTAGTACCTGTTTTAAGCATGTGAACAATCTTTGCAGATCAGGAGAACCGCAAAATACTTGTGTGGTTTATCTGTCATACAACTGTGAGAAGTTCCAAAGCTTATTTTGAAGTCCTGCAAGAGTTGGATCAGATGCAAGGATTGAATTATCCTCTTTGGGGGTGATGTGACTACTAATCTAATCTTCTCAGGGAATCCCATCAAGCTGTTTAATGTCATACTGAGTTTTGGGGAAGATATATTTCATAGAATTAAGTAGTTCAGAAAAAGCTGATATACTTTTCTGGTTCCAGTACCTTGTCTCTGCAAGCTTTAATGTTTGTCTGTTTTACTAGTTTGTGGGTTGCCAGATACTATCTGTGTTTCCACTTTCTACTTCTGGCAAATCAGCCAGAGTTTGGAATATCATCCTGTGCTCACATCTGATCTGGGTTAAATCTGAACTCGTGGTTGATCTGGTGCATGATACTGGCATTTATGGTCATGTTTCTCTGGCCTCAGATGGTTGTGGTGACTGCAAATTGAAGTTATAGACATTTCATCTGACTTGCATACTTGCTTAGAAATTCACGTAGATCACTGCGCGCCATATCCCACCTCCCAATACCTTCAGAATCACTGAACAGAGGTTGTCGCTGTCTTCCACAATCACCTTTTAGAAATTTGCCAAAGAAAAAATGTTTCCATGTATCATAACTGCTATTCTAGTTAAGTTGAGGGCATCACCTTGTTAAAAGTGCAAAGCTGAGGTTTAAGACTTTTTAGGATGTGATTGACATATGCTTTGGATCAAATTTGTTAATAAAATTCCTGCTTTTAGATAATTTACAAATTACTTCTAAATTAGCAAATCTAGTCACTTTGTTCACCAGCAATATCTAAATGTATTGAGACAGGATGAATTTTTTTTCTCTTAATTCTTTCTCCTTTAGTATAAAAAGGGCCAAGTGGCCTTACTCTTTTGCAGGTAAGGTAATCACAGTGACCTCCTCACTTCAGAAGTGTTGCAGGTCAGACTGCATAGTTTATGGATAGACAAGTTATTTAAAAGATAAACAGGGCTGAAGTCACTTTATAACATACAATTTCAGTGCTTACAGAAATTCTGTACAGGCTATTTGCTTTCCACCATACTTTTTTTTAGCATAGAAGACTTCTTTGACCAAGACGTAAGTTGGTCTTGATTAACTCTGAAATACAACTAAACCTCTCCTAACAGAGAGAGCTTCCATGCCTTGTCATGGTGATGTTGACAGTATAAATACAATTTTCTTCCAGTCCCATCCTGTCCTGAAAGGACACTGGAGGAAATCTTGTTGGCTAGTTTGTCATTAATGCCTATACTCTTGCCAAGGGCCCATATTACTGAGCTACATGGCTTACAAATAGCTATTATCTTACTCTTCCTTCCTTTTCTCTTTCAACAGGAAAAACCTAAATGAAGGCAACTTATAAAAAGCAGATGTTGCAAAGATGAGGAAAATGCATCATATGTTGAATTGAGGAAGTAGCTGTTGCTGTAGCTGTGCTCTTTAGTTGTATACAAACACCGTTTTGCATGTGGGTTAGGTTTTTTGGGGGTTTTGTTTGTTTTTCCTGCACACAGTAGCTGGCAGACTGAAATGGGAGTCTTCTTGGAGTTGAATATCAAATGGCAGAAGAAAAATTTACAGGTGCACGTTAGCCAGGCAAAGGCTGGGTTTACAAGTGATGGTTGCTATATGGCATGTGGAAAATAGAATGGATTCCTTTTAGGTAGTGGTGAATAATCTGACCAACTTCTTATGTTTATGGATGCGCATTGCCACTTAAATGGATAAAAAACATTCTTTCCTTCGGTATTGCTGGACCTTTTGTTAGTATTTGTGCTATCTACTCCAGGATGAAGTGAGCATGTTTGTAATTTTGTTTTTTGTCAGATTGGTTAATCACAATCTTTCTCTATTTTTATAGAGCAAATTCGATTAAAGAATATAAGGAATGTATATGGAAGATGCTTGTGGTATCGTTTGCGACTGTTAAAACCACAACAAAACATAATTCCTACAGTAAAGTAAGTACATTTCATTTGCATGACTTCCTATTAAAGCAATTCGTACATTTTTATTTCTATAAAAATACATATTTTTTTTTGTAATCAAAGTAGCTGGAGTTAGTTACATAATAATGGCTTTTGTGTCACAGAAGAGACATTTGCAGTCTTCTATATTTGAATAATTAATAAGTTAATCGTTATTACCTAGTAGAGCTTGAAATCAAAATGGATGCTGTTTGTCCTTCATAAAATATCTGCTAAATGAAACCACTGAACCTCAGCACTAATAAATAAGTAAACAATGCATTTATTTATTCCAAAAAGTAATCCTCCCTCACTGAAATTAGTGGTGCTACTGATGTCTTTTGATTTAAATGTTTAATATGTAAACATATATTCAAATATACAACAGTAGTAATTTTTATGTTCCCAGCTGATGGTTTTATATCCTCCAATTCTTTGTTTATTACTCCCATCCTCAATATTTTGCTGCCTGTTATGCATCTGTTTCAGCTTTTTTTTAACACTGACTTTGTCTAGGATCAGGTTAAGGTCATCCTTTAGAAACGGGAAATATTATTGTACACCTGCTGAGGACAGGCTATTAAAGAATGGAAAGAGCCTTTGTTGATAGTGGCCTGCCTCTCTTTTAACAAATTAATTAATGTCTGAGCAGCTGTCTCATCAGTGTCAAAGGTGGTGTTATAGCTCAAATACTTACACCTGCTTTAAAATGGCTTTAATGTTTCGTGCTATTTTTATATTATTTCTTGAAGACTGATATCAAGTGGCTTCTGATGTTATTTGTAGAATTAAGCTAGTGATAGTGGATTTGTACATCTAAAAAATTTTGTCTTCCAAACAGGAAAATAGTCCTCCTTGCTGGCTGGGCATTATTTTTGTTTCTTGCATACAAAGTTTCCAAAACGGACCGAGAGTATCAAGAATACAACCCATATGAAGTTTTACATTTGGATCCTGTAAGTAACAGCACCTTTCACTAGTCTGTACTGCTATGACTGTATATTCTATGGCTAGATGTCAAATTTAAGACTTTTTTTTTTTTTTAAACAAAATAAGTTAAGTTTAGTGATATATCTGCTGGTTTTGTTCTCTTTTTTTTGGCATCTGACAGTTGCTGTTGCATATTTTGAAGTCAGTCATTAGATATTCTTTGCCTGTACCTGTACTAATTTATAACTTTTGTATCTAACTCCTCCAAAATTCTCGTGGCTTTCTTAATATAGTGAGATGGAGTTTTTTATCAATTGATGATGTTTTCCTCACTTGGTACAGAAAACAAAAAAGTCATTCTGCTTTGTATGCCCTGTGAAAAGCCTTTTAATAGCCATTTTTAGGGATGCTGCTGGATAAGCTGTATAAATAAGAATGTGGATTCATTGGATTTACAGTTGTTATACAGCAATATTTCTCTTGTAAATGAAGGGCTTCACGAAAGGGTGTTGGTGATGCACATTTTGATGTACTAAAGGTTACCTTGAATTTCAGTTGCATTTGTGAATGCAAACAACAAATTCTAAACAGTGATACCAGCCAACTGGTTTATTAAACTGGGAAAAAAAAAAAAAGATGTAGTGTTTATCTAGGAAACAGATGCAGTGCTTTGTTTATATTGAAGGCCTGATTCATAATAGATATAAAAAGTTATATTTCCTGAGGAGACAAATAGACCTTCTGGACATATCTTAAACTCCTATTTAGTCTTGTCAAACTCTTTTCTTCGTCTTTACCACTACCTCCAGCAAATTCTCTGCTTATGGTAATTATTTCCTGATACAAAGCTCCTCTTTTGAACAACAGTAGACTCATCTTTTCAGTTCTGAAGTCCGGGGTATGTTTTACGCTCCAGTCTAAGGATACAGCTGAGCACAAGAATATGGAAGAACTTTGAATGTACCTGTTTTGATTAAACTTGATGTGTATTGTCAGTGTGGGAGAGCTTAAAATGTATATGAACACTTGTTGTGGTTTAACCCGGCAGGCAGCTGAACACCACACAGCCGCTTGCTCACTCCCCTCTGCTTTCCAGTGGATGGGGGGAGAGAATTGGAAAAAAAGTAAACCCCCTGTGGGCTGAGAAAAAGACAGTTGAATAAAACAGCAGAGGAAAAGAATAACAGTAATAATAATCTTAATGGTAAGAGAATATACAGAATATACAAAACAAGTGATGCACGATGCAATTGCTTACCACCCACTCTCCGATGCCTAACCTGTCCCCAGGCAGCTCCCCCCTGGCCAACTCCCCCCGAGCATGATGTCATATGGAATAGCCCTTTGGCCAGTTGGGTCAGCTGTCCCGGCCATGCCCCCTCCCAGCTGCTTGTGCACCAGGCAGAGCATGGGAAGCTGAAAAAGTCCTTGATTGGTGTAAGCACTGCTCAGCAACAATTAAACCATCAGTGTGGTATCAACATTATTCTCATCCTAAATCCAAAACACAGCACTATGCCAGCTACTAGGAAGAAAACTAACTCTATCCCAGCCAAAACCAGGACAACATTAATAAATACATCTCTTGCCATTAGCAGTGTGGCTTGTTAGCATAAGGTTAGGCATCACTGGTACTGCTTTTCTATGCAAAGAAAGCCCTTAGAGCAGATAACCAGACTCTAGCCTGTCATGTGCAGAGGCAAGTTATTTAAATTCAACTTCTGCTCAGTTCCTCTGTGAACGACTTGATTGCTGACTCACGTGTTCTCACTGATGCACAGGAATGGTATATGTTGGAACTGTTCATATATCTTGGCTAACTTTAGTTAGACAAATCAGGCTAGGGATTAGGTCACCAGAGGATTTTCTTTTGTCATCTTTGTCAAATTTCTACAAGTAACAGCTCTGAGGGGAGAAAAGAATGTATGTAGTGATAGAGGGATGGAGCATATTGTCATAAGGACAAGTTGAATTAAAGCCAGAGATGTTACAAGAGGGATGAAGAGATAGGTGTGAAGATAGAGCAGTTGAAGTAGGGTTCAAAATAGAGTCCAAGATTCCAGAGCGTGTTTGGTTTTTTGTATTTCTGTGCTATCAGACAATGTCTGTTAAATCCCCTTGAAAAAACTTCAGACTACATGAAAGTTAACAGCTTTCTTCTGTTACCATTCAAGTGGAACCTTTAGAGTCGTTGCCAGCCCTGCTGATGTTGAAGTGATACAGATGTTGATACAGATGTTGAAGTGTTGTTAGATAATGGAAATGTTGCTTTTAAAAAACAAAAAACCCCCAAACTTAAGAAAAAGTTGCAGACAAGTACTTGAAAGTTTTGCTATACAATAATTCATTTCTTTACATTCATCCTGTGGGCAAGATTTTTTTTTTATATTTTAATCTTATGTTAGCATATCAGCTTATAACAAGAGGCTTTTTCCTCCAGGGGAGAACCACAGCATGGACAAAGTCAGACAACGTACATGCACCTTATTCTATATAAAATATTAGCACTTTGGTTTGAACATAGAATAGCTCTTTTTAGAGCATACGACTTGAATTCACTAATACATAAGGCACTCATAGGATTACTGATTTATTGAATAAGTATCCTTACTGCCATTTTACAGGTGGGATCCAAGGTGAAAAGCTGAGGCTCAAAACTGATTATAATTTTGGATTCTTTAAGTAAGGCAATGGGGCCTTAATTTTTTTTTCGTGAGTTGTTAATATAGGGAAGCTCTGCATTCCAAGCAGAGTGCTGACTGACATCAACTGTCCTAGGCTGCTAAGCATTTCTGTAAGTCAGGCCTAACCTCTGCAGCCTAGCTTTTGAAAATAAGGAGTAAGCAATTAATGATAGATGGAAAGTTTGTCATCAGTTTATCAAGAATCGCATGCAACCTCTGTGGCAGAGAGAGAAAAAAAAAATAAGATTTTTTTTCTTTATGGGCAGCATTCATGTCAGCCATGAAAACCCTTCTGTTCTCCAACAACCTGATTTTTTTTTCTCCACTTCCCAGCTTCTGCTACTCATCTGGCATTCTTTATCTAGACTCAAAATGGCTGTTTTTACTTGAAGTCTAACTTACTGTGGAGTAAATTCATCCTGTGCAGGCATGCTGTTGAAAACTAGTGTTGGAAAATGATAGACACATTTTATAGAGAGAGATAAAGGAACAGCAACTGAAGCCTCAGGGTAGTTAAATCTCTGATTTAAATTTATTGAAACAGTACCATTATCTTTAAATAACTTCTTGTATGTTTATTATGCAGTTAAGGTCAGCATGCTAGGCCTCTCTACCACAAAATGTTGAAGAGTCCTATGGTTATGGTTCTGTGAAACTTAGCAGATAGGTTAGTAGAAAAGCTTTACCTGTGTTTACTATAAAGTTTTGCAGATTTTCTTGAATAGTGAAGTTCACAGTCCAACCTGAAAGTTAATGTACAGGGAGTTGTGTTGGTGGCATTTAACAACGTGCTGTAGTAGAATAAAATAAATCTCTTTCTCAGGTATAGGTAATATATTCCCTTTGTTCAAGAAGTTTAAAATAATTTATGGGTAGGATAAGTCTAGTCAAAGGCATTCTTAAGCGGCAGGGCTTATCCACTGTTCCTGCTGGCTGGCAGA